TATTAGTACAGTTTAAAATAGCTGTTTTTTTAAATTTATTAATAAAATAACTGTTTTTGCAATTTACAGAAAAGCTGAATTTTCAGCAGAACGGCATACCTCAAAACAAACAAATTGAATCCACAAGCCAAATCATATCCACAAGCAACAACACAAATAAATGGACATAAGGACACATTCAGATATTAAATCCCATTAAGGCTCAAAATACACATGGAGAACTGAGATCCGTATCTGAGGAAATAGGGAACAAAAAGCAGACAGCAATGTGTATCCATTAGCGTGTTTTCGGCAAACGGTGTCCCCTGCTAGCTATTTGATTATAATTAAATTACAGAGGGCCTGAGAGAATGCTGGGACTCTCTTGTCTATATTCTGAGTCTCGGTAGGAGCTCTGGGTTCTAGTGGCATGCAACTGGGAGAAAACAGATATTGACAAATGCCAAACAAGTGCATTTAATTGTTAGCATAAATTAGTTTTTATGTGACCCAGTGAGGAGCAAGTGAACAAAGGTGAATTATCAATTCTTTTTTTGAGCTCTAGTTCATCCTTCTCACTTGAATTCTCTCTTTTCCTCTTACCGATCAAGCCTTTGAAACACAAAGCTCTGGTCATCAGTCATTCTTCACGTCAATGCTTGTGAATTGCAGTCGCTCGTCAGGAGCGCACGTTGATGAGCAAGATGTGAAATGATCGGCTTCATCTCCCAAATGCACCAGAACTTGAAACAATCAGCCCCGTGCTGCAAGAGAGCCTGCGCCACATGTTGCCACATCAAAGGCTACGCTAGGTGCTTGAATCTAACACGCCGCACTCTTGTGTTCACTTCCAGAAATGAGTTAGAACACAGTTTGATGTCCTCTTGTGGCTTTTAGAGCAAAAGGGTTTACTTATTGAAAAGAATCAAAGGAAGAACTCCTTGATACCTAAAAGACAGATCCAGGTCAAGCGGTTTTAAAATGATACAATAACAATAAATAAGGTACATGGTAATTAAAAATAATACCAATTCAGAGAAATAAATCTTAGATATTCCAAATACACTGTCAACAAACCCATTATTGCATTTTTTTTCTCCCAAAAATGTCTTAAGAATTATTTGCATAATTATTTGCACATTCTGGTTGAATGTGTAACCCCATTTGCAACTTTTGTAATGTGATGGATATCTGTGAGAAAAAAGGGGGAATTGATTTCAATGTAGAATTTACATTATATGCTAGAAGTGTGCTAGATTTGGGGTGTGAATTTTCAAGTTCACTTATTTATGCTACATTTATAGTTTTCTTTAAATACTTTTTCACAGTAAACACCCGAAAACTGTATGAATTAAATACCATAACGTGACATATTATCCAGTATATTGTCAAAAACGCTTCCTAAGATTGTCTACTTATATATTTGTTGTTTTAGGACACTATAGTTACAAAACATAAAATACAATTTTATATATATATATATATATATATATATATATTTACAGATGGTAAAACCATCGCAGAGCCTTCGGCAACGGGCTTAAAGGGGTTAATACTGAGAGACATGATGGTACAGTGTTGGATCTTTTCATAAACTTCAGTAAATCTTTCTAATACCAGAAAAACAAACAACAAGACTGTATTTGTTTGGGATTCCAGGCAATCCTGGACTCTCTAGGAGTCAAAAATGAATGCAAAGCAGAGGTACCCTTTTATGTCCTCATAAAGAACATAATGCACTTGATGAAAGTGGATGTCAACTGTAATGTCTGTAATTCCTGAGTTCTCTGTGGGCCTTGAATGAATGTCTGACTTTGCATATTAATACTATCAGTCATAACAGTTCTTTATTGATTTTCTTTCATTTCCCAGCACCAAACTGCATTAGTCAATCTAAACATGCAGTGGAATCATTCAATGCAAACACACTTGTCACTTTGGCTGAACTTCTCCTATTTTCCACTCACGTCAAAGCCATGGCCCATGGCAAATAGCTTCGGAGAGAAAGCAGCTTTTAAAAGACGTGTTGGATTTTGCGAATGAAAGCTGTCGTGTGGCTAATGCATGCCGCCTGAATATCAAGCGGCCATAATGAAGTAATTTATCTGAGAGTAGCCAGTCTCCCGCTATTCTCCTGTGTTCATTAGCCTGTCACAGTCTAAGAAACCGCTCCTCATGCAATTCTTACTGAATATAATCAGCATTAGCCCAGAGAAACAGCAGATCGGAGAGTAAACATCAAACTTCTGTCTGAGAGTCAACATGAATTCCAAAATAGGTCTAATTCTGTCACCTGAATTTCCAATTGCTTGCACCTTTTGTATTTACATATGTTCCAAACGGGGACATTTGTACCCAACAAACACACTTCTTTAGCCACATACCGTTCACAGTGAGAGAGACTTCCTTCTCAGCTGCTCCAACACGAGGGACCACCGCACGGCACACGTACTTCCCAGCATCCTCTTGCCTGACAGATTTCAGTGTCAGGATGTTTTCATTGCTTAGAACCTGTAGCCAAAGGTCAAAGATCAAAATATTTAAAAGGAGTGCAAAGGCAGCTGGTCTGAGTCAAAATGAATCAGGACTCATGAATGGGCAGCTAAGCTTGGAAAAGGGTCTTCTTCTCAATTATTAAAATCCAATTTGGGTGAGATGAGGAGGAACGTGTGAACATGTAAGATGGTAGGTGAAAGTCAACCGGGGGAGAAATGAGACCCGTTGGTTTCACTGGGGCACAATTTCCCTCATTTCTGTGCCAGAAAACGGACATACCCCAAACTGAGCCACTATCCACCTGCAAGTAATAGAATTGCAGGGAGTCTGAAAAACCCTGATGTTTGCCATTGGGGCACAGCACTAAATGTAAATACTATGTGCCGTCCTGTCCTTGAAATAAGAATGTCTTTTTAGAAAACTTTTGATTCTGTTCCTGAACTGTTCAGAAATAGAACACAATGTATTAATGGATCAAAGGTTTTATACAAAGAATAGCATATTGAAGTTTTTAATTAATGGATGAAAAGACCAAATCAAATTAAATTGATTTTTTTTTTCATGTTTGCTTGATCTCTTCTTTACAAGACAAGATGTCTGAATATCAATGTACTATTAATGTAGCTGTATTGAAAAGTGGAATGGTTGGTGTAAGGGATCTATGTGTTTACTAAAAGCAATGTCTAATAACAATGTCTAGCAACTTACCACCCCAGAGCCCCTTTTCATCCATACAATAGTTAAAGAGGGGTTTCCGGTCCAGGCACAGTTAAAAACAGCATCGGATCCTAGGTCAACCTGTAAAGACTGGGGCTCTGCAGCCATCCGAGGTCCAACTGGAGAAAATAAACCAGGTTATACAATCTATTCAGAGAGGTCATATTTTAAACTTAGTGCTTGTAAGCTTGTTTTAATATGAGATTGATGGCAGCTGAGGATTATAAGTCGCTCTCCTAATATTTGTGGAGATACGTTCAACAATTCTGAACCAGAGGTATCCAATCCTGCTCACGGTGGGTCATATTCTTGCAGAACTTTGCTCCAGCTATATTTTAACACACCTGAACCAGCTAATCAAGGTCTTTAGAACTGCCAGAAGTGTGCAGGTGTTTTGAAGCAGGTTGTAGCCCTGCAGGAACATGGTCCCTCATGAAGGTTTGGACAACTCAGATATAAAAAAAAAAAAAAAACTGAAATAACTCACAGTAGACATCCACGTTCCGACTGATGTTGGTGCTCCCAAGTGGGTTGGTGACCTCACAGGAAACTGGCTCTGTGAAGAATGAGTGATCCACTATGACCTCATAAGTGTCTCCAGACACTTCCTTTATCATGCTTCCTCCTTTGGCCCACCTATGAACAGTAGATAGATATGATATAGAGTTATGAAGCCCACTCTAAGCAGACAAAGAAGGTGAGTATTACCTGCAGCCAATACAATAGTTAAAGAGTGGTTTCCGGTCCAGGCACAGTTAAACACAGCATTACCAAACAACTATTAGCACTAAACAAAAGTTAGTGCCAAACCACAAAAAAGCTAGTGAACTTAATGGTTTCCTATAGCATTGACAAAACATATTGCAGGATGTTATAATTCCTGTACACTCAAAAGCATGCAATAATTGTACCTTTAGGGGTACAACAGGTACAAATTAACATTTTCTACCTCATTTACCTCTAAAAGGGTTATACTAGTACCTTATTATAGCAACGTGTTCCCCTTAAGGTACTAATATACACCTTTTAGGTGCAGATAAGGTACAAAGTTGTCCTTTTAAGGGTACTGCCCCACTGACAAGCTGTTATAGCTAAAGGTAATTTTTTTTGCACATTATTGACAGGAGGTAAGTGCTCTTTGATGAACATCCTTATTCAAGAGTGTCCAATCCTGCTCCTGTAGGTCCACTATCCTGCAGAGTTTAGCTCCAGTCCTAAACATGCCTGAACCAGGTGATCAAGGACTCAGGATGACTAAAAACTTCTAGGTAAGTGTTTTGGGGCAGCTCAAAGCTAAAAACTGCAGGAAAGTGGTCCTCCAGGAGCAAATGTTCTTGTTGGTCCTAGAACAAACTTTGTTAAATAGTCAGATTTAATAGTTAATATTAAAGTTATAGATGGGATTGGTGCAACATTCTTGTCAATTTATAATTGTCTCCCTAATTTTATATGTAGTTTATGGTTAAGGGTGAACCAGGTTACAATTATGTTCTAGGACCAGTAAAATATGTTTATCTTTGAATACGTCCTACCTTGGTAAAATCATTTTGATTTGAGTCATGACATCAAACTTCCCTGTCTTAACTTCCCTTAGACTTCATTTATAAATTTGAAACCTTGCTATCAGTCTGAGATCTAGTTTTCACATCGAGCGGGTCACAGTGCTACTCTCTAAGATAATGTGATACATATCTTTAAGCTCATTTGTAAAAGTGGTCTCAGATCCACAAGTCGAGAAAAAGATTAACTCTTTTAAGTCTAACTTTTTCAGTAATGGAACAGAAAGCCATCATTATGAGCCCCTGCCTGACGTACGCTATCACAGGAAAGTGGAACCCAATTTGGAGGTTGCCATGGCGATAGGAGGAAGACCTGGTGTCTAATCCATCTGCTTCTATCATAGTCATCAATGAGGCATGATAGCTGCCTGTCTGTAGGTGGTTAGAGACCGAAAGAAAGAAAGACCGCCATCTTCAATGGGAGCCAGTTTCACCGGTGCCACTTTGTTTGAGGAAATTACAACACTGTTATATGACAAATCAGTGAAGTGAGATATCTCTGCTTGCTTCAGCATGTTTCTTGCCTGGGTACCAAGTTAACAACACTGAATGGAGCCAGACTGGTAAAAACATATCCTGAATTGACAAATAGCCACCAGTCCCTCTCCACATGGCCTAATGACACAAACCCCATACAGTATACTGTACCAAAGACATCAGATGTTAATAAATTCACAGCACTTCCCACAAGGAACCATTCATTTCTGTAAGACAAAGGCATCTTCCGACAATACTTTTTTTTTCTCCCATACTGACAAAGTAATGCATCTTTAAGTCACTTGCTACTTTGTAGTTCTCTGTTGGCGTCTATGAAGGGACACATTTGTAAAAAGCCAAAGCCAATGGTGGATGGGTGTCTCACAGCCTGACACTAGGAATAATATCTCAATAAACTAATATATTCAATGCCAGTTAACTCCTTGCTGTCAAGAAGCATTGCTTTACAAAGCCAGCAGCCGGCACTGATAGAGAGCTGCCAAAACGTCACTATTCACCTTCTCTGTAGGAATGAGTACACAATTCATTAACTCTGCAACTAACTCATACCATCTGCAGGCCTCGATAGAGTGTCATTTAAATGATAACAGTCTCCCTCTTGACTAAATTAAAATAAGGAGGGACAGCAGTTGTAATTGGCCTAGCTACTGTGCTTGAGAAGCACTGTTTCATGGCGTTAACATAAGCAGCTTAGAACACAGTCTGCTAAATCTGCGCAGGCACACCTGTGCTTCCAAAAATATTTAAATCTGAGCATGTCGCCTCCGTCCTCGACATAATTGCTCTGAGGGAAGTGAATAGGCGACGCTGTGAAACGTTATATTTATGGGCAATTACAGCAGCAGTCGCCTGCTATACATCTTTCCCGGAGTTTTTCTTTCTTGTGGTAACATAAATTACACATAGAGCTTTTTGAAGCAGCTGCTTTGTAATCAGATCAGAAGATTCACTACGCCATAATTTCATTCAGCATTAAATAGCCTGTTTATTACAAGAGCCTAGAAGGATGATTATCTTGTTCTTTTAAGTAACTAGCTTATATTTGTGCGTTAGCTGTGCACGTCTTTCATTATAAACTTTTATTCATATGTTTTGTGTTATTATCAATCTCAGCTGTGGTCCCTTATGACAAGCAGCACATATTTCCTATTAATTTAAATCCCATTTTCTCAAGTCAATACATGGGAAAGTAACTACTATGACACACAATATTTATTGAGCTCTACCCTTTCAAGCCTCTTAAATCTTCCTCAGGCTTTACCAGAGATTTGCTGCTCTAATGCATTTTACATTCAAGCTTGTGTGTGGAATGTTTTTAACTGGCTGTCATGTTAGTTAACGATTCATTTCCCATGAATGAATGAATGAATAAAACAATAAATCAATCTAATCTAATTCTATATTTGAAACATGGCATGCTTCAAGTAACATTTCCATGTTTTTTGTGAATCTCAGGCTATGCATTTTGCTAAAGCACAGATGATAAAAAATATGAAAAATGCAGACAATAAAATATTAGCAAAATAAAAGGCTACTTAAGTGAACTTAAGGAGAAAACGCTTTCATGTTTTTTTAATACAATTAAGTACACTTTTAAAAGGCTCACTTTGTAATAATGTCAAATTAAACGTTTTATTTTAAAGTACAAAGTAAATCATTACATGTGACCCTGGACCACAAATCCAGTCTTAAGTCGCTGGGGTATATTTGTAGCAATAGCCAAAAATACATTGTATGGGTCAAAATTATAGATTTTTATTTTATGCCAAAAATCATTAGGATATTAAGTAAATATCATGTTCCATGAATATGTTTTGTAAATTTCCTACCGTAAATATATTAAAACTTAATTTTTGATTAGTAATATGCATTGCTAAGAACTTCATTTGGACAACTTTAAAGGCCATTTTCTCAATATTTTGATTTTTTCGCACCCTCAGATTCCAGATTTTCAAATAATTGTATCTCGGCCAAATATTTCCCTATCCTAACAAACCACACATCAATGAAAAGCTTATTTATTCAGCTTTTCAGTTTATGTATAAATCTCAATTTTGAAAAATTGACACTTGAAGTTTTGTGGTCCAGGGTCACATATTTGAATGATCTTCATGCTTTAACACTTATTTTGATGTGTTGACTAACCTACTATAAAGCACATGTAAAGTACTTGATTATAATTTTTACTGTAGTGTGTTATTTGATATTACATTTAAAGTTAATGTAATTGCGATGTACTAAATTAAACACTTTAACCATATTTCAAGTACAGTAGAAGTAATTACATAAGATATACTTAAATCCTACTTGAGTGGTTCAAAAACTCACTCCTAACTAACTGCATTTCACATACATTTTAACTGTAATACATTTTAATTTAATTGTAAATTACATGCAATTAAGTGTTCTGAAAACATCACACTCAGTTTGCCAAAGTATATTATTTTAAAGTATATTATTTATTTAAAGAGTGCTCTATTAAAAGTAAACTAAAGTGTACTTTTTGTAAAATGGCTAGGCCCAGTGTAACTTCTACAGCTAGTTTTTAATAATGTGTATTCAAAGATTAATCCCTCTTCCACAATAATGTAATGTCTTTGAATAACTTGGGAGCTTTTTCTGAAAGTACTAATATATGCAATTTATTGTGATTGAATTCACAACAAACAAGTGTATTTAATTCAATCATTTTTATCAACTGAGATCTCTACTTATAATTCCAACTAGTATTCTGACAGCACAAAACTATGGCAATACAGAGCAAAGCTGGACTGTGTGTTGGTTTTAAGCCCATGGGGTGGCAGACTGGGAGGTTTGGCCGGCAGGAAAGGCCCAAATGGTGGGTTAGCTTTGCCAGAGCTGAAGGATTCAGCGCTGCACATCTAAAGAGCCAAAATATCCGTGAGCACAGTGGCTCCGTTGGGCTGCAGCCAGGGTCTTCTAAACAGAACAAACATGACCCCCCCAATGGAAACCCGGCAGACTATCTGTGTTAACTTTTGTAAACTTTTGGACTGCTTTATTATTCTGGAGTTGAAGGGTACAGTAGTTTTTTGCTCCTTTTTTATTCCCCCAAGAAAAATAACAACAACAACAAAACAAAACCCTGGAAAGAATACTTTAAAAAGAAGTACTTTAAAGGAATATACTTAAGTCTGAACTGAATGTGACCTTTCATGAAACGTATTTGCATTAGATTTGCAATTAAAGGAAAATGTATTATAGTTTACATTTCTATTAAATTCTTAAATAGTTAATTAGTTAATAGTGCTAAATGCAATTTAACAGTGCTTAATTTAGATTAAAGAGTTAAAGATTTAAATTAGGAGCCAAAACCTACTTTTATGTATCTTAATTAATACTTACTTGTGTTGTCTTTAAAATATGCCAACCTTACTGACAGTCATTTATGGTTAACTAAAATATCCTTTAATGTCATTTATATTAAAACTTAGATGTCCTGTATTTAAAAAAATATATATGTACTGTCATTAAATGTGTAATGATGAAATTGTAATTTAGTATATTTAAAATAAATAAATTTTAAATGTAATATCATAACACACTACTATGCAATTT